GGTGACACCTCCTGCCACTGCCCCATAACATGTGCCTGACACCTCCTGCCACTGCCCCATAACATGTGCCTGACACCTCCTCCCAGTGCCCCATAACATGTGCCTGACACCTCCTCCCAGTGCCCCATAACATGTGCCTGACACCTCCTCCCACTGCCCCATAACATGTGCCTGACACCTCCTCCCACTGCCCCATAACATGTGCTTGACACCTCCTGCCAGTGCCCCATAACATGTGCCTGACACCTCCTGCCAGTGCCCCATAACATGTGCCTGACACCTCCTGCCAGTGCCCCGTAACGTGCCTGACACTGCCCCACAACATGTGCCCAACCCTTCCTGCCACCACCCTCTAACATACACTAACACCACCCGCCACCACCTCTATCTGTGCTGCCAGCACCCACCACAGCCTGTCATTGCCCCAGGCCTGCCGCAGGGTGCGTGGGTAGCAGATCTATCCCACCCAGTTGTGAGGGTGGCTGGTCTGTGGGTGACAGGGCAGCAGGCATCTCTGTCCCTGTGCACAAAGTATGGGAATGGCACATCATCCAGAGGTGCAACAGCAGTGGAGAGCTCACCTTGAGCATGATGCCAGCACAGCCAGCATCCAAACATCAAGCATCCCAACTCCAGTCCCTGAGAGGTGCTGAGACAGGTGGGTACAGAGGCAGGTACATGAGCCTTTCCTGGTGCACTTCACCCTGATCCCTCTGCCAGTGCCCTCAGGTTGTGCTCAGTGTCATCTTCATACCTATTGGTGTGCCAGGGGTTTGTGCTACTCAGCTCTTGGCTCTTGTTATCTCTTGCAGGTGGCTTTAAATTGATTCCAGAGCTCTGCCTGCAAACCTGCAGCATCTTTAGCTCCAGTAATTTAGACCTGACCAAAGCTGTCCATAGTGAATTGCTTTGAGTCTCTCCCTGTGGAAAGCATCCCTTGGTCTTTGATGGGTCTGTCAGTTCCAAATGCCTAAGCCTCCTTTCTAGCAGCAGTGAGATCATCTTCCCAAAGTGG